CGGGCGCTTCGCCAGCGCAGCTGGAGCCCGGGAGCGCAGGGTTTGGAGGTCTGGGGGCTGCCCGGCAAACCGTGAAGCCGGTAGCACTCGGGCAGCTCCGCTCTTCAGCTGCACAGAGCTGAGGCATCTGGGGGGGAGCAGCAGCAGCCACCGCCGCAGAGGGGAATACGCCTGCAGCTCGCAGCCTGCTGGAGCACGCAGGTAAGCAGGGGACTGGGGCAGGGATGCTGGCATTTTCCCGGACATGTTCGGCTTTTTGGCAATTCCCCCCGGACGGGGATTTGAGGACCAAAAAGCCGGACATGTCCGGGAAAATCGGACGTATGGTAACCCTAATACATTGCTGAATCAGGGCCTTAAATCAGCTGTTCCATTCCACATCAGAGATTGATATATTTCAGTGGGGGGGGGAGGGGGAAGAGCGAGAGGAAGTTATTTCTGTAATGTATGTGGTTTTTAAAGTACTTGGAATGAAAAGTACTATATTGATGAAAATTAATATATTAATAATAAAAAACCCCAAACTAAAACTATATGCATATTAAATGCTAACGCAAAGGTGAAATGAATGTCCCTAGGAGCACACAATATTCAGAATGCTCCTGAATATTCTGTGCAGCTTTTATAACCTTGAAACAATGATCTGGAATTGCACGTTCCCCACTGTTCTGCCATGGCGGATGTGTTGGAACTAGAGGATTAACACCTCACACACCTATCAACAGACACAGGCATCAAACCGGATGAGATAACAGCTTGTGCAATCAGGAAGCACCACACTAGAGGGTTATAAACACACAAGCCTCTGAATCCAGTGGTGAAAGACTTAAGCCTGCCAAGCGGAGGATGGATTGAAGTAATGACTAGTATTTTCTGGGAAATCTTCTGAGAAGATAGATAGATAAGAGAAATAAATATCCCAGCACCTCCAGACATAAATAGCATATTGAAGATATAACCCACCCAGCCCCTTCTCAGCCTGCTGTATTTAGCCGCATTAGCACACTAAATGGCATTAGATAACAATGGAGGTTGAAGAGAAATCTTTTATTTTCCACATTGCAAGGTAATCAGAGTAGTTCTCTTTCCTGCAATCTTACAGATATGGTTCAAGCAGCAGGAATTAACTTGGCCATGCAGCTTTCAAAGACTGCAGCCATGAACTGGATATGGTAGGCAGAAAGTCAGCCAGTTTGCTGCTTTGTTGCAATGACATTTCAGAGACCACGATAAGAACAGAAAAGTGTTCCCTTGAGTGCCTTAAACCGTGTTTGAATCCTACTCAGATGAGTGGAGGGTTACAATTTCATCACACACACACACACACACACACACACACACACACACACACACACACACACT